TGTATGTCCCACGAGTTAAACCTGGGAAAGTCAGCAGGCCAGATTCGGCTCCCAAGTCCTAGTCTGACAACCTCTAGTATAAATGGGGGCTTAAAGCTAAGTTTGACGATTCAGAACTGCAAAAGGACTGACTATATAAGGAGAAAAATGACTTCCAGGGCTAGCAGTACAGTGCTTTACTATCATTGTATTCTAAATATTTGCCCATCCTTCCCACAAATTTGTGTTTGTGGAAATGTGCCCTAAGGTTTTTGTTGGGGGGAGGGTATATTTTATAGATACTATTCTAACTATGCCATATTAATAATAAATGCCTATACCTGAAAAAAAGTCATAACAGACTAATATAATTTCCTATTTTGATATGGTTACTAGACTGCTAGAAGAGGGGAATGATGTCACAGGCCACCTAGTTCAAATCCCTCATGTTATAAATGAGGAAACTGAGGTTTAGGGAGGTTTGATGTCTTGCCCAAGGACCCTCAGCTGTTATCATCAGATGTAGGATTTGAACCTAGGTCCTTTTGATTCTAGAGCCAATGTTCCTTCCATTGTCCTATATGAGATACATGACTTTAGGTACAAGGATTTAAGTAAGTCATCTGACAAAGTCTTTCATAATATCCTTATAGACAAAACGGTCAGATTTGTGCTGGATAATAATATTGTTAGGTAAATTTGGAACTGGTTGAATGACCAGACCCAAAAGAATAGTGATTAATGGGAAAATGTCAACATGGAGAGGAGGAAGGGAGGAAAGAAAAGAGAGATGGAGGAAGGGGGAAGGGAGAGGGGGAGAGAGAGAGAGAGAGAGAGAAACACAAAGATAAAGCAATTATTAAGCACTTACTATGTGCCAGGCACTGTGCTAAGTGCTGGGGATTAGTGAATAGTCCCATAAAACTATCCTGGCCCCTGTTACATTCAATACATTTTGTTAATAACATGGAGGTACATATATGCTTGTCAGATCAGAAGATGACACAAAGCTGAGAGGGATGTTGTTGGTAGGGATAGATAGCAGAGTCATGATCCAAAAAATGTTTATATTATAGGAACTATAGGTAGGATCCTATAAGATGGCATTTAATAGAAGGATAATATGAAGTATTATACTCCAGTTTTTTAAAAAGTACAGGATACACACAATATAAATGTGTGTATATAAAAATGCCCATCATCTCTAGGCATCATGTGGTATACAGTGGAAACAGCCAGGTTCTGGAGAAACTAGTCTGTGACTTTAGTTTTTGACTCTCTAGAACATTGGATCATCATGACCTGCAGAGGTATAATCTGCTGATTTGTGGTTTCTTGAGATCCATGTCAAATGTCCTGGAAGCTGCTCTAAAATGAGAGTTGATTCCAGCTATTTATCTTTATGCAGACTTAAAACAGAATATCTTTCATGTGAGTATGTGACCTTCATTTGATGGAATAAAAGAATGTGTGCTTATGTGTTTGTGTGTGCACGTGTGGATACACCTACACAAGCATAAACTTGGTCAGATTAGATTTAGATGAACGTATTTGCTTTGTCATAGCACAAGGCAGGCTTCAGACTGCTGTCTCAGAAACTGGACGCTTTCTCCTAAAGTTCCCAAACTATGATTATTTCATATAAAGTTTTAAAACACAGAAATGGTGTTAATTATAAGAAATGGTTGGATCCAAGGTTACTTTTGTTCCCCAGGAACTACTGAATCAGTGAGGGATGAAAGTATTAAGCCATGAGAAAATAATAAAAATGTCTAATGCCTCACTCTTTTAGAATTGCATTTTTCCTGAGAGAACTAATCTATTGTCCCTTGCCCAAGGCCATAGTGTGACCTAAACACTTACTGCATTCTTTGAAGGGCATTTACTTTCCTTCAAAACCTTCCAAGCAAATCTGACTACACATGCAGTTAAAAAAAAAAAAAAGGAATAGTATTATTGATTTAACTACAAAAAGAAAATAATCTTAACACAGATTGGCCATTTAAAAGCAGATTAAAGGCAATGTAGCATTTTAGTGCTTGCTGGCATTTTAAGTTCAAAAGACCAAAAACTTAATTTTATTTTTCCCAAACTTGCTCCTCCTTCAATATCTCTATTCTTGTTGAAGGCAACACTGTTCTCACAGTTGCCCAGGCTTATAACCTAGTAATAACCATTGACATTGCTGTTCCAATTAGTTGCCAAATCCCATTGATTATACCTCCCTAAGCTCTCATTCACCCCATATTCTTCATTCTTACTTTAACCATCCTAATTCAAACCCTCATCTCTTCTCATCTGGGTTACTGTAATTGACTCCTAATTGGTCTTCCTTTTCCAATTATTTCCTCTTTAATCCATTCCACATACTATTGTCCTTTCCTTTTTTTTCTTTTTAAATGCTTCATTGATGCTCTTACATATATAAAAAATCCCTATTACCTCTTAATGATTCCCTCCCCCACAAATATAAACCGCCCTTATAACAAATAAGCCCAGGCGAGTAAAACAAATTAACACTTTGGCCATATCCGCAAACGTATATCTCACTCTTCATTTATAGTCTACTATTTCTCTGCTGAGAGGTGAGTAGCATGCTTTATTACCAATCATCTAAAGTCACAACTAGTCATTGCCTTGACTGGAGATTTGAAATCTTTCAGTGTTCTCTTCCTTTACATCACTGTGGACATCACATAAATTCTTCTCTTCATTCTGCCTATTTTATTCTGTATCCATTCACACCAATTTTTGCAGAGTTCTCTGAATCCTTAATTCTAATAATCCTTTTAACATGCATCTGTGATTGTGTTTGGAGAAGGCTTCACTATCTTTATCTGATGAAGCCTTTTCCTTCTTCAAGGCCCAACTCAGATGCCATCTTAAGGAAAGCTTCTTTCTCACTTTTCTTGTTCTTTTCACATTTCTCATAGTACCTTGACTGGACCACTCATTTGCACTTATCTCGTTCTCCCTCACATCCTAATTATCTGTATGTTTTCCTTTCCTCCACTAGATTGTCAACTCTTTGTGAAAGCCTACTCTGTATCATCTCTTTGTTTGGGGCTTATACACAGTAGGCTTTTAATAAATGTTTGTTAATTTTAATTGAATATAATAAAGAGAGCTCAATGAGTGTCATGAAGCTGGAAGTTCTCAGTTTGCGAAAAAAAGTCTATTTTGAATTTCACATCTGGGTGTCTCTAAATATTTTGTGACTGTGAACTCACTGACCTCCATAACTTCCACATATCAAATTAAGGACATTTAGTTCTTTGCCAGAGGTCACAAAAGAAGGCAGCAACAGAATCAAGAAAAATATCTTGGTCTCCACACTTTCACTTGCAGAAACACTAAAAGTTTAGTATATTTTGACTAAAACCAGATGCATTTTAAATCTCATTTCCATAGTTGATTTGTGAATTTTTCATCTGAAAGTTTTCAAACAGTATGAAAAAGTATTCTGATGATAGCTTCTATGTGACCTTTTATATTTATATGTGAATATGTTTTCTCTCCTGAATTGATTCTGTCTTTGTATCCCCAGGGCCTAGCAGAGTACCTAGAATAAAGTAACTGGTCCTTAATGAATGATTTTTTATTGATTGAATAGACTAGTAAATAGCAGGCTAGCTGGAAGTATGTGAATATATTTACATGTGTATAAATTTCTAAGGAAATTTACTTTATAGTCAACCCCAAAACTTGGAAAGAGGCATTTTGCGAACATTGAAAACTACGCACTTATCAGAGCTTTACTACATATTTAGATAGGGTAAAGAAAAGAATTGAGAACACCAGTTTAGTGTCCTCTTCTTTATCCTACACACACTCCTCAAACCCCAATGGGAGACAAAGGAAAAGTTCAGGGGATTTGGAGCTCCCCAGGAAAGCTGAAGAGAGGAGAACAAAAAGAAAAGGAATGAGAAGAGGCATAAGCAGTGTGTTGTAGAAGAATGAGCACTGAGTGGATTTGGAGTAAAACGATGTGGATTTGATTCCTAACTAACAAGTATTAGCTATGTGACTTTGGACCAGTCACTACCTCTCTGAGTCTTGGTTTTCATTTGTAAGATATGGGGTTAGACTACATAGATTTAAGTTTTTCTTTCTAGCTTTACGAGATAACCTTCTCTGGGCCTCAGTTTCCTCTTCTGTAAGATAAGGGAGCTGGATGCTCTCTAAAGGCCTGTCCATCTTTCAAGCTTATGATTTATAACATCCATATACCAAATTGAGGAATTTAATGCTTTGCCCTAAAACAAGTGGAAGGAGCTCAAAATTTGGGGAGCAGAACATCAAAAGGCAGAACTTGGTGGCTGCTCCTAGTGCCTCAATCCTTTGAATTGAGCTTAAGTCCTTGCCAGGTTCAAATGCCCTTTAATGTTCAAAAATATGACTTTTTGATGCAAAGAAGGGAAAAAAGGAAACCTTACAAAAGGATCACACCATACTGAACATCAGAGAGCTTTTACTAAACATTTTTTGAGGCTGGGAGACTACAAAATACTCAGAAATGCAATCAGATATGTTATGATAACTACAATTATAATAACAGAGGATGATGCCATTAAGACCATCATCTTATATTTGGTGAGTACTTTTCAGAAGAAGCTCAAGGAGTTTGTGAGAATTGTTCAATTTGTTCCGTACATCTGGTGGGGTGGAGAGGACAAGGATAGTGGAAGAGACTATTAATTTCATTTGGCAGATCAGAAACTGCGGCCGAGAGAAGTCCATAATAACATAAGCCAAGTTAAAATTCCCTCCAAATAGATATACTGGGAACTTCAAAGCCACCCCCCACAGGCTTTCTGACATTTTGCTGCATTCCAGGTACAGCTGTTTTCTTTCATCCTAAGATGCTTCCAAACCAGTAAATCACATCTTCCCATAATGGCTACTTGTTCATGAATCCTATTAAAGCAATTCTTTTCTATTCAACAAATTTGTAGTTCATCTGACAGTAATCTAAACATTTCTTTTATTGTTTAAAGTAAGCAGAAAAGCAAAACACTTACCTCCATCCGCATTGGAAAAGCTCTGTGGAAACAAAAACAGGGCAAACCATTACATTTCTGGAGAACATCAGAGCTTTTCATTTAATCCTTACTTCTCTTAGATTCACTACATGCCCCAGATACAGAATTTTAATGGGAGATAGCTGACAGATGTTATCCCCTAGGAAGTAACTCCAATGAGTTGGCTATGTTGTTTTTGTTTATTTGTGGTTCAGATTGGATTTTCTTCTTTTGCCTGGGTTAGAAGTGTAGTGGCCACTTGTGGGCTGCTCCTAAAAATGACCAGCACAGAAGTTTTGACCCATTCCACATTTCTGACCTGGGCCATTTACCCCTACCTAGGTAGTCTGCTATCTCCCTGCTCCTTTGGGGTCATCAAATTGGTGCCAGATTCACAGTTCACCTCTGGTTGCTGTTAGGCCTACAATGGCTTAGAACTTCCTAACTCAAGTAATCCAGCACCTCAGCTTGCCAAGGAGCAAGGATTACATTCATAGACTTCCACACTCAGCAAGAGAGATTGATGTCTTACAGTATCATAGTCAAAGTAGGATTCTGTCTGAAAGACAAAAGCTTAATAAAAGAGATGCTGATATGGCTTGAAATTGAATGCCTGTAATGGTTTCAAACCGGCCTAGGAATACTTCCTCTCATTTAATTTTTAGTTATGACAGTTATGCACAATGAGCAACAATAATTGAAGACATAGTGTATAGGAACAATCTAGCATTAGAATCAAGTAACACAAAAAGTCCATTTGACATACATTTTCATGAACTTACATATAAAATAATCACTGTTCGTCATGCAAATGGGGCATAAATAACAAGAATTTTAAACGTGTCTGCATTGCTTTTGCACAGTCTAGTCAGGCATTTAGAGGATCACTGGAAACCCCAGGATTGATACAGTGGCAGCAGACCCTGTTCATTTTTTTCGAGCAGGGGGTACCCATGACCTGGATGTTTTGAAAGCCAAAGATTAAAAGCTTTTCTTTCTTTTCTCTTCACTCAGGGCCTTCATTAAAGGTAAAATGAGTGGAGCAATGTTATTTAAGGAAAAGGCCCCCTGCATTCAGATATCTTCCTCTCATTGCCTAAAATTTCACTAATTAGAGATAAATTTGTATTGATAAAGAAATTAACCTGGAAAGGAAAAGATGGGGTGGAGTGGGAGGTAGGTAAAAATAAAAATCTAATTTATAGCTTTGAAAAGAATATTCATTTATGACTTAGTATAGGATTATTTAATGAATTTGCTTTAGTAGAAGAGATACAGAGAGGTTTTATTGGGAATATGAAGGGAAAATAACAAGGGGTAATTTAGAGCATTTTTTCTTGGCCATTTAGGTGAGGGCAGGCCACGATGGGTCAAAAGAGTAGAGGGTTTTGGACAACCAGAAGGAAATATAGGGGTGCTAAATTTATGGGGTCAGGGTAGATAAAAAGGCCAAAGACAAATGGCCTGCCTTACAATTTTTCCAGCTGGCCTACTCCCCTGCCCCCTTTTGGGAAGTCAAATGAAGCTGTGATTTAACTCCCTGACATCCTCTTGCCTTGCTCCATCTAGAATGGCAAGGTGGGGCATATTTAACTTCTTTAAAGAGAGCTGGGTTTTTTTAGATGTTAAGAAAGGGCATCGAACCTAATGATTACTGAAGTCCCCACAGTTCTAACTCAGGAGATCCTCTATGAACACAAATTGTTTAAGTTCAAGTAAATGTTGCTAGTTACCTAAAACTCTGATATATTTATTAAGTCTGGCCAGGCCAGACTGCTATTTTAAAATATTTTATTAACAGCAAGTAATACAATTGAATTTTTTTAAAAATAATAACCTATGTAATTCAAACTTTTCACTTATGTAGACTGGCCTTCTCTTCAAACATTCAAAACGGGTGAGGTTTTACTATATTTCTTTATTTTAATAATAAAATTATACTGAAGGATTACCACTTGGGTATTTTTGGAGGGGATGGACTAATGACCTGTGATGTTCATTTTGACTTTAAGATTCCATGATTTCATAATTCTTTCTGGATGGAAACATTCCTATAAATTATATTTTCTTTACCTTTTGAAAGTCCTTCAAAGATTTCTCTGTTTCCTTTAGTTTCTCTAGGATGATTTGCTCTTTGGCAGATATCTGGGACTCTTCACTTTCTAGTGTCTGTATTTCCTGCTCCAGTCTAGAAAACACATAAAGATCAGGTTACTCTATCATCTTATTATATATTAAAGAGAGCAACTTTTACTTACTGGGTGAATAGTAGCTTTCTTGATTTATCAGTCTTATGTTTCAGTGAATTATCAGAATAACCATCATTACTAGCATTTAAATAACATTTCAAACTTGAAAAATGCTTTACATAGATCTTATTTGGTCCTCACAGCAACTGTAGGAAGTAGGTGCTATTATTTTCTCCATTTTGCAAATGAGCAAACTGAGGCCAAAAGAGGTTAAGTAACTTGCCCAGCTGTGTGACTACACCGTTAACAAGTGTCTGAAGCAGCATTTTAACTTGTTTTCCTCACTCTGTCTAGAGGTCTATCTACTATGCTATCTAACTGCTTCATTCTCTTTTACATGCACATTATCCTTCAGTGAAGTTCTACTCATGTCTCATCATGGGGTGGAGTGTGACATAGGTTCTTTTTTTAACCTTTTCTCCCCCAAATTTATTTATTTACTTATTCATTCATTCATTCATTTTTAGTTTTCAACATTCATTTGTATAAGATTTTGAACTCTAAATTTTCCCCCTCCCTCTCCTCCCCAAGATGGCATGCAATCTGATATAGACAATACATGAACAATTATATTAAACATATTTCCACATTAGGTGTGTTGTGAAAGAAGAATCAGAACAAAAGGGAAAAACCATGGGAAAGAAAAAAACAAATAAATAAAAAGGAGAAAATAGTATGCTTTGATCTGCATGCAGACTCCATAGTTCTTTCTCTGGATGTTGATAGTATTTTCTGTCATGAGAGACATTGGTTCTTTAAGACTATGTCAGCAGAACATAAGCTCAGACAGGTCCTATCAAATGGGAAAAGTTGTAAGTATGGATTCAGTGATGGACTGTGTAGCTATCATCCAAGTACCGGTCTGAAGAAGCTCATCCCCATTTGCAAAGGGAGACACGTTTTGGTCATAGCAACTCAGGAACAACAATGTACTACAGTATAGTAATTTGCACTGGCACAAACAGGGTGCACTGAGTCCAGATTATGAATGTTTGAATTACAAGTTAAAATAACAAAGAGTGGAGTTTTGTTAGTTGGGGAAAAAAATCAGATGTTTTCGTATTTGGGTGATGCATCTCAACATATTGTAATGCCTGATGCTATTTCCTCTCCTTGATGTCTCCTCAAGCTATGCTTGTCTAATTTGTACCATCCTTCAGGGTGGTATAGAGTAATGGAGACAGGCCAGTACTTGGAGTTGAGAGACCTGGTTTCAAGTCTCTGCCATTTATTAGTGATAGTGACTTGGGCAAGTCATATGATATTTTCAAGTTTTTATTTCTTTACAAAATGAGGCTAATAATACCTTTGTTTCCTAACTCATAAGAGCAGAAGGAACTCTGTTGAAAGAGCTTTGTAAACTGTGATGCTGAGTTCTTTTTACAATTAGAGCCCGGGTTAAATGCCATCTCCTTCATGAAGTCTTCCATGATTTTTCTAACCAGAAATAATCTTCTGAACACTCCCAAGTTCAGAAAGAACCTTATACCTTTTTATTTTCAGGTTTACATTCTAATTTGTTTGTAGCACATATGTCTTAGCAATTAATCCCTCAATCAACAAGCATGTATGAAGTGTTTACTATATGCCAGAGGCACCTTGGTAGAGTAGAAAGAGAGGGGGTCTTGGAACCAGAAAGAGCTGGGTTTAAGTCCTACCTCTGACACATATTTTCCCTGTGACCCTGACCAAGTCAATTAATCTCTCAGTGCTCTCTCTAAGACTATAACAGAAGGCTGTGGATTACATTGGTAGAGGAAGTTTCCTCATTTGAGAATTCCCTGTACCAATGAAATCACTGGTCCAGACCATGTCTCTATCCCTAACTACATACCAGGAATTATGCTTAAAAATGAGATAATATTTATAAAGTATTTTGTAAACCTTAAAGTTCTAGATAAATGCTAGCTATAACTATTATTACCACTATTGTTATTATTATTACTGATTGCTGAGAATACAAAGAAAGATAAAAACAATACCTGCCATCAAGGAAAACACATTCTAATGGGGGAGAAAATATATAAATAGCTAGACACATAGAAGATATATGCAAAATATACAGAGGCTGATCTCAGAAAGGCAGGCAGTAACAGCTAGGGGAAATGGGAAAGTCCATTTTATCTTCACTATTAGACTATAACCTCTGCGAGGGAAGGATTAGTTTCTTTGTATCCTCTTGCAGTACTTAGCATAGTGCTTTCCACATAGTAGTTAGTATATATGTGTTGAATGAATGAATATCAAGGAAAAGATAAATGGATAGAATTTCCCTTTGATTCCTTTCACATACTTAACCTTCATTCAAAGCATAATTCATTTTTAGCTAAAATAGAAAATAATGTCTAAAAAATGGCAGAGACAACTTTTGTGTGTGTGTCATTGACCCCTCTTCAGAATAATGATTTTAATGGATAATAATAAAAATAATAGTTATCATCTCTACAGTACCTTAAGGTTTGCAAAGCACTTTGTGTATTAACAGACACAAATATCCTTTATGTATTGGTATACATAAATCACACAAATTATTCTATATTAATGTATACAAATATACATATTTTAATATACATCTCATTTGATTTTCACAACAACCTTGTGAGATAGGTGCTATTATTATCCCCATTTTACAGATGATGAAACTGAGGCTTACCTAAGGCCATACAGCTAGTACAGGAGGCAAGATCTAAATGCAAGTCTTCCTGAGTTTAAGTCTAGTACTGTGCCAACTAGCTGCCTCAAATAAAACACATGGGTTTACAAAGAAAACCAATTACACTGACACATGTTTATCAAAAAAACTTTTTTTATTAAAGTTCATGCATCTCAAGCTAAGAAACACTGATCTAGAGAGATAAATTACTGTATATCTCTGCACTCCCAGTATTCTACCAATGGGATCAGGGAAGGACTGATACAGTGGCTGCTGTTCCTCAGGAAAAACTCCCCATTGTTCCTGAAAGACAGTTTGTTCTAGGAAGTCTCAAGGAGTGATAGTAGGCTATATCTCAGAGCAAGAACAATGGTGTTTTGAGGATAGTCTTAGTGGCTGAGCACCCCCAATGACAAGAACTCAATCCAACCACAAACATTTAGCAGCCCCCTCCCTTTTTTCCAGAGGTATCAGACTGTGGGAGTACAGACTGCATATATAGCTAGGTACAGTCAGTTTGAGGTATTCATTGGCTTTGTTCAACTGCTTTTGTCTTGTCTTTCTTACCCCAAGAGCACTGGCAGAGATCTCAGCTGACATCCCAATCAGCTCAGGTATCACATGAACCTATGTGAATTTCTTTGTATGAACAAGACAGAAGGGGAGACCTGACAGATTCCTTGTTTTTAAAGATGTCACCCATAGTTATTATTTAGCCATTATTAGAGAATTATGTGAAAACAATGCCATTATATTGTAAAGTTAGAAAAATGGAAAGATAAGAAAGGGCAAGCTAGGTAGTACAGTGGGTAGAGTGCCAAGCCTGGAGTAAAGAAGAATTATTTTGCTGAGTTCAAATCTGGTCTCGGACACTTGCCAGCTGTGTGACCCTGTGCAAGTCACTTAACTCTGTTTGCCTCACTCTTCTCATCTATAACAGGAGCTGGAGAAGGAAATGGGAAACTACTCCAGTATCTTTGCCAAGAAAACTTCAAATGTGGTCACAAAGAATTGTTCATGACTGAACAATAAGAAAGGTAACTTAATCAAGGTTCTTACTTTTTCCTTATCTTTTAGGTTGATCTATTGTCTTTGATTCATGATATAGTACTACCCCACTCATCTAGAACATTGTCTGAAAATGGTGTGTTCCACATAAGTAAATCTTCTGTAATAAATGAAGTTTATTCTTTTAAACAGTAATTTAGAGGAAGAGCCAAAATGGTGAAGAAAAGGCAGGAACTTATCTGAGCTCTCCTAAAATCCCCTCCAAACAGCTTTTTAAAATTCTTCAAAATGAATTCTGGAGCAGCAGAATCTATAAAAGGTTGAGGTGAAACAATTTTCTTGCCTAAGACAACTTAGAAGGACTATAGGAAAGGTTTGTCTCGCTTGGGTAAAAGGGGGTGCAGCTCAGGACAGTCAGTGTCTGGGCAAGGCAGCAGAAGGACTCTAGCCTCAGCACAGGTCAGCAATTGAGACCCTGGGGCACCAGTATAGCAGGCCAGTGGCACAGTGGGCCAGCTGTGGGGCCTCCAGCCCCCTACATGCAGCAGGCAAGCCACCAGCCCCAGGGTCCTGGCACAACAAGCAAGCATTCAGGCCCAGAGACCCCAATATAGCAGGCACTACCAGGCCTGAAGACCCCAGCACAGCAAGTGAGCCACTAGTCCTGGAGGCCCTGGTACAGCAAATGAGTGTCCAGGCTCAGAGACCCCAGCACAGCAGGCCAGTGGCTAGGCCCCTGGTCCCCAGTGCAAGAAGTGTAGTACAGTGCCCCCTGTACCCCTGGAGCAGAGTTCAACTTAAAAGTCAAGAAATAGGCTGGAAAATGAGCAAAACTCCCCCAAAAACCCTAACTGTAGAAAGCTACTCTGGTGACAGAAAAGATCAAAACACAGTCAGAAGACAACAATGTCAAAGCACTTTCATGCAAAGCCTCAAAAAGAAATATGAAATTGGTCTCAGGCCCAAAAGGAACTCCTAGAAGAGCTCAGAAAGGTCAAGTAAGAGAGGTAGAAGAAAAATTTGGGGGAAAATGTAAGAGAATCATGAAAAAAGAGTCCACAGCTTGGTAAAGGAAGTACCAAAAAAAAAAAAAAAAAAAAAAAAAAAAAAAAAAAAAAAAAC